GACCTCGTGATCCGCCCGTCTCGGCCTCCCAAAGTGCTGGGATTACAGGCTTCAGCCACCCCGCCCGGCCGGTATAGAATTTCAATTCAGAATGGTGAAAGAGTTCTGGAGACAGGCTGTGGTGATGGTTGCCCAACACTGTGAATGTATTTAGGCATTTATTTTGAGACAGAGTCTTGCTCTGTTGCCCAGGCTGGAGTGCAGTGGTGCAATCTCAGCTCACTGCAAGCTCCGACTCCCGGGTTCACACCATTTTCCTGCCTCAGCCTCTCGAGTAGCTGGGACTACAGGCGCCCGCCACCACGCCTGGCTAATTTTTTGTATTTTTAGTAGAGACGGGGTTTCACCATGTTAGCCAGAATGGTCTCAATCTCCTGACCTTGTGATCCACCCACCTCGGCCTCCCAAAGTGCTGGGATTACAGGCACGAGCCACCGCGCCCAGCAACACTGTGAATGTATTTAATACACTGAACTGTACAAATGAAAATGGTTAAAACGGGACATTCTATGTTATGTATATTTTACCACAATAAACTAAGACACTAAAAAAACGGGACAAAACATTTGCAACCTATACAATATCTTTGATAAATAACTTTTTTTTCTTTTGTTTTATTCCGGGATATGGTTAAGATAAATAACTTTAAAACGAATTTGCAAAAGAAAAACTGTAAATAGGCCAGACATGGTGGCTCATGCCTGTAATCCCAGCACTTAGGGAGGCCGAGGTGGGCGGATGACCTGAAGTCAGGAGTTGGAGACCAGCCTGGCCAACATGGCAAAACCCCATTTCTAATAAAAATACAAAAATTAGCCGGACGTGGTGGTGGGCACCTGTAATCCCAACTATTTGGGAGGCTGAGGCAGGTAGAATCGCTTGAACCCAGGAGGTGGAGGTTGCAGTGAGCTGAGATCGTGCCACTATACTCCAGGCTGGGCAACAGAGTGAGACTGCCTCAAAAAAAAAAAGAAAGAAAAGAAAAGAAAAGAAAAAAAACTGTAAATAAAAAATAAACATATTTAAACGTTGAATCTTATATACTAGAATTAAAATGCAAACTAAACTAAAATAAATAATAATATGCACAGTCTATCTTCATTTAGCACCCAAACTGCAACTCTAATATTACATACTAGGGTTTCAAGTAAGATTTGCAAGTTTTTTTTTGAAGGGTTCTTCTTCCCTTCCCCTCCCCACCTGAAAAAAGAAATGTGGGTAAGAAGCCTGTTCACCCACTTGGCCAGCACTACACATATTCCCAAGCTTCTAAGAAGGTGACAACCGTTTTCACCTTGTTTCTGACTCCTATTTTTGTTTAAGGGCCAAAGGTAAATGAATAAAGCTGGGCTGGTGCATTGGCCAGTATCTTTGCATATGGCCTAGGTCAGGCAGGCACACTTACTAGAGCCTCCTTCCCAGCATCAGGAAGCCCAAATGGAAACAAATCATTTATATGGCAGATAAAAGCAAAGGGAAAACTGTAAAGCAAGAGAATCAATGGCCTTAGCAGGGTCTCAAAGCATCTGCAACAAACCCCCTTCCCAGCCCCCCATTAGTACCTGATGATGAACAGTGGGTCCTCCCGGATCTTGCTGGCCATGTCAAGAAGGGAATTGGCACCTGATGGGGCAAAGATAGAGCCTGGGAGGAGTCCTGTTTCAGAAGAGCAGCCTGCCTCCTTCTCCTCCATCTTCTCAAAAACATATTTGTCAATGGGACGTCCCAGCAGGTACTCATCACGGTTCACCATCCCACCAGGACCCTGGTACATCCAGTCCAACTTTTCTTCTTTTTTCCTGGTTCAAGGGAAGAAAAAGAAATAGAATTTCTTTAAAAAGCAGACTTCTGCAAACCTACACATAAAACCTGAACACAAGGGAGAGAGAACCACAGCTGATCAGAGAATTCATTCTACTGGCACCTACCATGTAATAAACACAGCACCCTGGCAGTGGCCGGCATCAAGAAATAGTGTGGGTCGAGGGCCGGGTGCAGTGGTTCATGCCTGTAATCCCAGCACTTTGGGAGGCAGAGGCGGGCA